TTATTTCCAAATTTTGAATTTATTTTACAAAATAATTAATTTTGTTATTTTACAATATTTTTTTTAAATGAGTTGTCTGCCACAATAAATGATTAACTTAATTTTTCAATGATTTTTTATTTCGATTTTTAAAAAAAATTATTATTTATTTAATTTTTTATTTCCAAATCCTTTCCCATCATTCCAATTTGAAATTTAAAATTGAAATCCAAAATTTGAAATCAATTCAGAATTCGAATTTCAAAATAGCGAGCAATTCCAATGTAGAAAGCATTTAAAAGAGCTGAGTAATTCCAATTTACAAATCAATGAGACATTGAATGAGTTGTCTGCCACTATAAATGATTAACTTAATTTTCCATTGATTTTTTATTTCGATTTTTAAAAGAAATTATTCTTTATTTAATTTTTTATTTCCAAATCCTTTCCCACCATTACAATTTGAAATTTAAAATTGAAATCCAAAATTTGAAATCAATTCAGAATTCGAATTTCAAAAGATTGAGCAATTCCAATGTAGAAAGCATTTAAAAGAGCTGAGTAATTCCAATGTACAAATCAGTGGGACATTGAATGAGTTGTCTGCCACCATAAATGATTAACTTAATTTTCCATTGATTTTTTATTTCAATTTTTTAAAGAAATTATTATTTATTTAATTTTTTATTTCCAAATCATTTCCCACCATTACAACAGAATAGAGAAGTAACTTGAGAAAAGTAAACAATCAGAAAGGATAAAGATTGATAGAAACGGAAAGACAAATCAAAGAATTAAGAATCCAGGTAGATCACCAAATTTGCATGACAGACGATTACATTCAAAGCACTATGCTGCAGGAAAATAGATTCAGAATTTAAACCATATGCCTCCCGATTAAAGCCATAAAATTAAAAATATACAGATCAACTCATTAAAAAAGTGAAAGCCAAAATTGAAACAACGAAAACAAAAATCATAACAACAGACACAGAAGTTTAAAATCACAACAGAGACGAAATCACAACAGATTAGTAAAAAAAAAATAAAATCAAATGAGAGTTTATTGGCATGTCATTATCTATTTACTGCTTAAGGGAGAGAGAGAAACCTTTAATGCGTCTTAATTCCTTGCACAATGTGATAAAGTCTCCCCACTTCATGTGGCAACGTCTACTGAATCGAAGGATCTGTTCAGTCGTGAACATAGACATTCCTTCTAGGTATTCTCCATTAACACCATTTTCTTTAAAAATTTGCCGGTAATTACCAAGATTTATAGTCTCCAGCCAAAAGCCAACATCCTGATAAAATAGACAAAAGATGAGCGAGAACACTGCTGTTAGTTTATATTCTTAGTTACATTTGAAGATGCATCATATGTCTGTATAATAGCACCCAAAGAAGAAGAAGCAGTTAAAAGGTTATATTCACCGAGATTAGATCCTCATCAAACAACTCTTATGTAATATGTACAGTTCACATTACAGTCAATAACATAAATGAATTAAAAAAAAATGTAGAAGCATTTTAGAGCTTAATACATTATATCAGTCATTCATAACAGTGCATCCATTACATTGTAGAGTCTGGACCTATAAAATACACCTCTCCGTCACAGATTTTTTTTCGGACCTGCAAAGATCATTTGACAGTAGCATGGATCCTTCCACCCTACAAAAAAGTGAAAGCCAAAATTGAAACAACGAAAACGAAAATCATAACAACAGACACAGAGACGGAAACATGCTACGACAACAGAGACGAAGTGACAATAGATTATAAAGAACAAAGGAAGAACAACCAGCACTACCCGTTCATCCAACAGAACCATCTCAACATTGTCGTCAAAATCCTTACATTGAAAATTAGGAACCTTCCAAGATCAAACCACCTTAACCTTAATCCTCAGTCCTCCTTGGTAGGATTAAGATCATTTATAAAATCATAGGTTGAAAACATTTCGTAGAGGAGAACGAAAAAGGAAGAAAAGAAAGAACTGATTCCTCTAAAAGAAACAATCAGCAAAAATGAAATACCGGAGGGAAGAACAAAATTTCTATTCCCATGTTCCTTCTTATAGACCCAAGCAACAAAAGAAAATCAGTCAGAGATTAAATGAGAGCTATCTGCCACCTAAACACCTTAAATTTTTGTTCCACCATTACAATTTGAATTTCAAAAATGAAATCAAAATATTTCAAAATTTAAATCGAAATCATATTTTGAATTTTAAAAGAGCTGATCATTCCAATGTAGAAATCATGATCAGTTAATTACAAAAAAGAAAAAAAAATCATGATCAGTTTGAATTTCAAATTTTAAAATAGCCTCTCAACTCCAATGTAGAAATCATCGTTAAATGAAACAGCTGAGTGAGACATTGAATGAGGACTGAGACAGTTGGAAATTGAATGAGGTGTCTGCCACCACAACTCAACTGAATCAAAACTCAATTCAACTTTTTTTTCGTATTTTAAAATGTTTAAAATATTTAATAATTCGAATTTGCCAAAGGAGGAAAGTTTTTAAGTGGGTATGGTGTGAACACAAATATGAGATGCAAGGAGGGAGTGACACATGACAAAAATTTTCAACAAATGGAATTCCTTTAGAATAATAGATTTCCTATCTCTTTTTGCATTTTAATACATAAAAGGAATTCTATATATACAATTCAAACGGCAATTTTTATCCAAAAATCATTCATGATCTACCACATTTAATTATGAATTGACTTTCTTATAATCCATTTTCTTAAGAATAAATTTTTAATATATTATTTTTTTCACTATTGCAACATTAATATTGAAAAGTAACCCTCAATATTTCACCCTCATCTTTGCAATTAAATAATATTTTAGGATCTCACTTTAATTATTTAAAATAACACAAATCACACAATTGTCACGCAACAGAATTTGAATCGTGGATAATACATAATTTTATTTTTTTATATGATTTGAATTGAAGAAAAATAAAAAAGAATGAAATTGTAAACCAAATAATTTAATGTGAAGAAATAAAAATACCGAAAAGAACTCGTATAATGTGAATCTCTTATATGTTTAGAGGTAAAACATGTGGAAATATCTTGTAGCAATGTAGAATGAATGCGCAATTTTTTTTTTTTTTAATTAACTATCCTCTACTAGAGACAATCCTGTTCAGGACGAATCCAAATCAATGTCACAAATCTTATTATATATATATATATATATATATATATATGTGTAGTGTCTATTAAGGTCACAAATCTTACTTTTATATTTTATTTTTGTAATCTCACTTTAACTTTTAAAAATAAAACAAATCACACACGTACGTATATAATATACACATTTTTAATTCTTTTAGTTTTCAAAAAATATTGTTACACATTATGTGAAATTTTACAATACGAGTAATTAAAAATGTTACACTACAATTTAAAGTGTAATCTAATAATTGTGGGAAAAAATTTAAATGTAAGTAAGCGTCGTAAGTGTTTCATATTTATAGTTTTATTCTCCTCCCTCCAAAAAACAAAAAACAAAAACAAAAACGGTGAACGATGTGATCCTCGCGTGCAGAAAAGTTATTGTGGGCCGAGCGACGCAACCAAGGATTGGCTAATAGTAATACTAAATTATGAACGTTATTGAGTTTTGAATTTTATATTTTTATGTCAAGTGCTTTTGCACTTTCCTTTTTAAAATAACAGATTATTTGCATGCGAGACATATTCAGCCGCAGTTCACAACATGATGCATTTATTCAAGGGAAAAACAAATATTATGTTGTAGAAAAAATTCTTAGATTATGTCATAGAAATAATTAATTGTGGGGTCTACTATTTTTAAAATAAAAGAAAATTAAAAAAATTGATGGATCCACTTTTATATTTGTGTAGAAAAATTACTTGTGTCATGTAAAAAGAAAAAAACATTACTCTTTATTTAAATATCTTCTTTTGGACTCATAACAATCAAAGATAGTGGAAGAAAAAGCTAATGTTGTTTCAATTTCATAGAAATTGAGATCTTTGTACTCGTGATTGAATTTGCAATTTGAGCTGCCATAAAATAAATTTTTTGTTAATGGCCCTCTTAGAACGGTGGGTATTTAAGCACATAAAGCAAGCTTCGATCATGATAGTTATATTATTTTATTCTCGAGTATGGAGTCTTCTTATCCACAGGGATTTATCCTTTATTATTTAATCTAATTCTAATAGAATTTGGTTAGAAAAACCATTATATAATGTGGAAAAAATGAGTACAAATATCAATCTTCAATAACTTTGTTTCTTATGTATATATGTTTTTGGATAGGTTATCTCAACTACTTTTATTGTTTCTCTATTCTATTCAGATTCTGATATAATGATGTTGATGAGTAATAGATAAAGATAAGCAAAATAAATAAATAAATAGAATAATTTATCCCTATGCTTTTGTTTTTTTTAAAAGAAAAAGTTAAAAGCTCTCTTCCTCAGGCCTAAGGTTGTTTTTGGTTCAGGAGAAATTTTTTTTAACCAGGTAAATGTAATTACTAGAAAAACGATAAGAAAAGTAATTTTGGTAGGAAAGTTTAAAAAAAGTTATTTGGTTGGCCAAAATATTACTGGAGAAAATAAGTTAAATTATATGAGTCTATTTTTGGTTGAAAGTAAAATATTAATGAAAAAATTGATATTAATGACCAAAATAACCTTTATTTAAATTTTGCCCAACGTTACAAAACGCTGTCCCATCGAGTGTCACAAAATTTGCCCAGTAAACTTTGGTCAAATTGCACAGTATTGGATGGGGTAGTTTTGTCACAATATTGCCCTCTTTTGTGTCATTTGGCTATGCTTCTCACAATATCACGATAACTTTGGTCAAATCGCACATTAACTTTGCTACAATTTTACACGCCAAAGACAATGACTAGGCAATTGTCGAAAGTGAGAAAATTTTTAGTTCTACTGAACCAAACGAAGCAAACAAGTAATCCCACTCATGAATTACTAAGATCTTCACGGTTCTCCTGAACCAAACAGCGCCTACAATAAAAAAAAGGGAAAAGCGAGAGTCACTATAGCGCAGCTCCTAACTATAAAATGGCCCTAGCAGCAATCGATTCTATGGAACAAACACATCATTTCATATAATAGCTGATAGCTTCTAGCTACTATCATTCTCTTTCTAACAATTAACAATGACAAACTTTAAGCCCCTAACTCTTTGCTTCTTCCTTCAAGCTGTTCTTGTTATGATTTCAATACCAACAAGCCACTGCAGAACCTTCCCTTCAAACGATGAAAAACTGATAGAGAACACCTGCAAGAAGACACCCAACTACAATGTTTGCCTTCAATCTCTAAAGGCAAACCCTGGTAGCTCTGGTTCTGATGTCACGGGGTTGGCTCAAATCATGGTGAAAGTGATGAAAGCAAAAGCAAACGATGCTTTAAATAAAATCCATGAGTTGCAAAAGGTAGGAACTGGACATAAGCAACAAAGAGCCTTGAGTTCTTGTGCTGACAAATACAAAGCAATTCTCATAGGTGATATTCCACAAGCCACTGAAGCTCTGCAAAAAGGGGACCCCAAGTTTGCAGAAGATGGTGCAAATGATGCTGCTAATGAGGCTACCTATTGTGAGAGTGACTTCTCTGGGAAATCACCACTCACCAAACAGAACAATGCTATGCATGATGTTTCAGCTGTTACAGCATCTATTGTTAGGCTATTACTCTAGTACTAGTAGCTGAATCCTCTGCTTCTACTAATTAATTATAAGTTGTTTCTGGAACTTGGTATTTTGTTTTTTTTTTTAAAAAAAAGTTGTTTAATTTAACGCAGTTGTAGAATGTTATGTATAAAATCCTACCCTCTCAGTGATTCTAATCAGTTTCCAGAACAATCAATTTGCTCAGACTCTGTGTTCTGTTTTTCATAAAGATTTTGATATTTCGTTTTCTTTTTATGTTTGGAATCAGGATTTTGGAAGAAAATGAAATAGAATATAAATTCTTGTATATTGAAAGGTTTATGCTAATCTACTATTTTATTTTGAAAAACTTTAAAAAGGATATTATTAACAAAACATTTATCCTCTAAAAATTCTTAAATAAAAGAATATTCAAGAAAATTTTATCCTCACTTTCCTTTTCCTTCTAAAAGTCTAAAACCTTCCGTCTTAAACATACCCTTAAGAACGTGACATTTACGCATTATGAGAAAAAGACATTTTCGGCAAGGATTCTGTCAAATTTTCTTCCTCCCCCACTCTCCCCTCTCTCTCTCTCTCTCTCTCTTTTTAAAGACGTATAGGAAACTCAAAAATAAAAAGGCAGAAGAAAAGAAAAGTTAATAATTATATATAAATGTTAATTTTACTTAAATTTAGTTTTAGCTGTTCATATAAGATTAAATCTTCTTAAGCTTGATATCGTTTTTCAATAATTGGGAATTGCTAACAGAGATAAGTGGATAGGCATAAGCCGACTAACTGGTGTATTGTTCTTCCTTTTGCTTTGTGTTTTTTTTTTTCTCGCTCGGTAATGGCTGTCTTATTCTTCTTTACTAATGGTGGGGCGCAGAAGAGATAAGATCATAAGATTAAGAGAACCAAATAATCTTCGGGTGACTTGTCCTTTTCGGTGGTCTGATCCATGCTGTTTAGGCCGGAATGTATTTTTTCTTCTTTTGTTTTAACATGTTCATATTAATTATATGAATTTTTTTAAGGAAAAATGATTCCTGCAGCTGCTGTACCTACAGCAAGCAAATATACATGTCCGAATTTTAAGATACGGCAACGGATCTTGAGTTTTTTTTTTTTTTTTTTTTTTAAGAAGCCGTTGGACCCACTTTTCTGTGTCAGCTGTAGATAATACTATCTACGGCTGCTGCAGAAATATTGAGCCATTTTTTTAATTATGTATTGATAAATTAACATTATAAATTTAATGATAAAGTTTAAAAAACAGAAATGAAAAAATAAAAAAATTTAATTTCAAATTAATGATCCATAAATACATAATTGAAAATTTTTATATAGCATAATTATAATAAAACAAGATATAAATAAATTTCATTTCCGTTTAGGCCAAATATTCTGTTCAATGTCTTCAGCAACACGGCCCCTCAAGAAGCTTTCACTTTGGCCTTCTTGTTAGTTGATACAACATGCAATCATCACTTGGGCATAAAATTCGTCTGCTACGGAATGTAGAATATGTAACCTTTTCTTTGAGCATTAATTACGTGGTCGTGGACCACATGCTCCCTTAGTTAAATAGAGGAGTACAATGAAAAACCAGATAAGAAAAGGGGCAAAACAGGAAAATTTTGAAAGGGAGCACAAAATTTTAATATGATTCGGGATTATCTTAAATTTTTTTTTTTATTGAAAAAATATTTTTTCATGTTGCATGAGAATTCAATTTTACGTGTAATTTTTTTTTTTAATAAATGTGAAGCCCACCACTAATTGAGTCACAACATGAGAATTGAATTCTCATGCAACATAAGAATTGAATTCTCGTGCAACATAAGAAAATTAAACCCCTTCTTTATTTTATTTTTTCAATTTTTTTTCCCAATTTCCATCATCCAGAACCATGTTCAGCACCATTTTTAGTAGCAAAACTTTACAATATGTCCAATTTTACACGATTATATTCACCCTAAGCCATAACTCTAAATTTGTTATGGGTCTTATTTATAACTCGGCCTAGTCAAGCCACTTATTAAAACTGTGAGGTTGTAATGGGCTTACGGTACTCGTTCTTTAAGAGTATGTCTAGTTTTTGCCCCAAAGCCCAATATATATTACCAATTCATAGCAGGAGTCATAGACATGATATTAAGAAGAACTACCCTAAGCGTGATGGTTTTTTTATTTATTTAAATTAACGAGGTCGTTGAAATCTCCTTCGCTTGTCCCAACAAACAAATGTTACTCCAAGGGGAGTGCAAGCACACACAACAATGAAACTGAGAAAGTGTTTTGGTTATTTAGATATTTTTTAAAATTTTATATAAAAATTTCATGAAAATAATAAACTAAAATAAAGTCAGATATTCATAATTAGTGAAAAAATATTAACTAAAAAAATAAATCAAGTAATCAACTAATAATTACAGTTAAGGGATCATAAATAAAAAATTATAAATAAGAAATAATAAATAAATCTTTTACTAATACATAGTTTAAAAAAGAAATTTAAAAAATAAAAAGGGGAAAATATTATCCTTTTAAAAGACAGTCATTTTAGTTAAGATTACTATTTTTATTTAATTAAAAAAATATCTCAATTTATTTTATCAGGATTTCTGTTTCTCACATTATAAAATACAGTAATTTTGATTATAATGACACAATTCACCAAAAAAGAAGAAGATCAACACAAATCCCAAATAAAAAATAGTATTTATTATATTTCCTAATAAAATAAATAAAAAAATTAAACATTTTTATTTTAAAATATTAAATACTTATACTTTTTATTTAATATTTCTTTTATTTTTCATTTTTAACGTATATTTAAGAATATATATAAGTTAAAAAGATTCTTAAAGGAAAGTAAACAAATACCAGTGCAACTCAGTTGGTAACTTGGCGCTGAGTTAGTGGGGTTGGATATGTGTTCGATTCCCACTGAATGCATTCTTGGAGAGGGGGCTGAACCTTTAGCCATCACTGTTCCCCCGCACTCCGGATTAGTCCCATAGCCGGCTCAAAGAGTCGAAGCTCGTGGGGATACCGGAGGGAGCCAACTCGTCTCAAAGAAATAATTAGGCTTGGGTAACTCCAAAAAAAAAAAAAAAATAAACAAATTAACATATTAAAAGCTTAAAAAATATTTCTTAACATATTAGTCTTTTAAAAAAAAGGCAAAACTGACGAATAATTTCCCGTAATATGACAAAGTTTATGAAGTCGTCTATGAAAGCAATGCATGAACTTTTATTAATCAACGGCAATGATTGTGTAATTTTCCATCCTTATATTTTTTTTTTCTCCTCCCTAATTATCATTAACTCACCCATGTATGGTTATGATTGTCCCACATGACATGGTCATGTTAATTTGCACATGAGAGATCCACTCTCAAATATTTGAGGGTTTTATTAATCTCCTTCCACGTAAGATAGTTATCTTATGTGCTAGAGAGAAAATGGATGGTTCCCACCATTACAAGAAAAAAGAAAAAGAAGAAAAAAGTGGGATGCGAAAATCGAGGTGAGAGAAAATGAGATAAGTTACGTATGTAAAAGGAGAGTAATATTTCCCAATATTTGAACTCTGAAAACAACATTCGCAAGTGTTATTGACTTCTATCTTCCTTCTCATTCTAAACAGACATTGCAAACTTGAAGCCATTAACTCTTATCTTCTGCACACTTGTAGCTACAATTTCAATGCCAGCAATTCACTGCAGAATCATGCAGATAAATGATTCCAATCTAATTGAGCAAACTTGCAAGCAGACACACTAATAATGGTCAACAATCAACATAGCCAAAGCAAACAATGCCTTGTACAAAATCTATCAATTGCTTCGAGGGAACCCTGGACCTGGTCATTCATGTGCTGACAGATACAAAGCAATTGTAAATGCTGATGTCCCAGAAGCCATTGCAGCTCTTCAGAAAGGGGAACCCAAGTTTGCAGAACAAGGTGAAAATGATGCTGCCATTTAAGCCACCTCTTGTGTGAACAGCTTCTCTGGGAAATCACCACTCACCAATGATAACAATGCTATGCTCCAGTTACTCAAACAGATGATGTAGTTTAATATTTATATTATATTATGATTATGTGTCTTTTGTTTAGTAAAATTATTGGAAAATTGTTGGCAGCGCATAGGTTGATATGTCTGTGTCTTGTTATTATTATTATTTTTTTAAATTTTCTTTTTTGTATTTTTCTCACCAATTCGTCTTAATCTTGTTTATTAATTGTGGGGTAGAAAATTCTAGAGATGTTTGGTTAAATTTCTAAGTTGGGGACCATTTGGTAGCAGCTGTTGGCGAGGGGCTACCCTTGGTTACCACCTCAAGAAGCTTTTCCTTTTTGTCTTCTTGTGATCCCAACCACAAGAAATGAAACCCGAGAGATCAAACTGGTTGGCTCTGAAGAGCAGAGAGAATGTAAAGTTATAACTAAAGTATATTTTATGATTATAAAATAACAAAGTTTTTATTAAATAATTTAGAAATAATGGAGAAAAAGTTCAAGCAGGTTGGAACTTGAAAGCAATTCAAAATTGTTCAATGGTAAAGTATATAACTATCGATGCTATGCTTGTTATTAATGACAAGAGGAAAGTTGATAACTCTGAATCTTTAGATAGAAACTATGCCAATTATGCTAGTTAGTTGGTGTGCATTTGGTGCTGGAGATTTTGTCTTTAATGAATGAATCTCAGTTTTTAAAAAAAAACAAGAGGGTTTATCTGTCCCTTTCCCCATCTTTCTTTAATTCCCAATGAAGGGTTTAAATGAACCCAACTTGTTCTGGAAAGATCTCTAATTTGGCATCTTACTGGGAAGTGGGAAAAGAACAGAACAGAACAGAAGGTGTGGCGCTGCTGGCAACAGAAGCTAGCTGAAACAAGACATCCGTGATAAAAGGGGGAATTAACCTTAAAACAATGTGTTGACACAATTGCCTTGGCACCACTGAAAGCCCATGGTTACATAAAGCAAACAACATACATGTGACAATTATTATATATGAAAAGACTAGAAATGCACACCAAAAAGGATTAAAATACAGCCAAGTAAACAAGTTCAACAATATTCCCTTTTTTTCATTTGGCAGCAAACAAATCTTCAATTTTTAACTCACCCAACGACCAAACTAACACCTTAAATAGCAGCCAAGAAAGAACCTTGCTCATTCCCCAACCCTTCATTTCTAGTCACGCAACAAAATGAGGAGGAGCTCAACCTTTGTGTCCTCTTTCCCACTCCATATTCTTCTTCTATCTTGTTTTCTTCTCACACTTAACCAATCCTCTGCCATGTGGAAAGATAGGGATGCTGATTTGGTAGACCAGATATGCAAAAAGACACCCTTTTATGACCTTTGCAGCTCAATCCTACATTCAAATCCTCTAAGCCCCAATACTGATCCAAAGGGTATGGCCCTTATAATGGTCAATGACATTCTGACAAATGCTACTGACACATTGAGTTACATTGAACAGCTGATAAAGCAGACCTCAGACCCACAATTGGAGCAAGAATTGGCTTTCTGTGCAGAATCATACATCCCTGTTGTGAAATACATTCTCCCACAAGCAGCTGATGCTATAAGCCAAGGTCGATTTGGGTTTGCAAGTTACTGCATATCTGATGCTGAGAAGGAAGTGGATGCTTGTAACAAGAAATTCTCAGACTCATCTCAGTCTCCCATAAGTGATAGAAATAGCATTATGCAGAAGCTTGTGGATGTGGCTGCAGCCATAGTCAAATTATTGTTACATGGCTGATTATTTACTTACCTTTCTTCTCTCTCTCTCTCTCTCTTTTCCCCTTAGTAGTGTCTTATTCTTATAAAATAAATAAATGCTTTTAGATGGTTTGAGTTTGTACAAATAATGATTCTATGTACTTTGTAGCAGCTGTTTATAAACCATACCTTTCTGGTTCACCTTTAAATCATAATTGATTGTTGGATTCCAATATAATCTGTTTTACACAGACTCGCAATAAGGTTAGATAAACCAAAATTTCAAAATTTCAAGAGTGGTTAGTAGCTCCAATTCAGTTAAATCAGACAACCTACGGCACCTAGGACTGGGGACATGTTTGTCTCGGATTTGACCATAGACTATAGTGTTGGTTTTCTTCAGTGCTGGCCTTATGCTGCAGTTGTTACCCTACCATAGGGTACGATAGTCTCATAATTATATTAGCAGGGTGTGATTTGAGGAAGAAGAAAATTAGGTTAGGACCTGCAAAAATTGAAATTGAGTTTCAGTCTTCCAAGAAGTGTCATTTTGCTACGAAATGGAAACTGTAATGATGATGTCCATTTCCTATCTGATTAAGATTGTTTTGTCAACTTCATTTAATTGTATTTGTCGAATTATAGATAGAGCGAAGCAGTGTCACATGTGAAATCACATGTCTAGCTATTCCTCAACACGCACAATAGTCAATAGAGTCCCAAGTCTGAACTGTAATGATGATGGCATCCCAGCTGAAACTAGCACGAGCCACATATTTTATAAAAATATAATATAAAATTATTAATGTGACTTTTTTTTATAATAATTTTAAATTTTAAATTAAATGATTTTTTTTATATAATATTAAAGTCTATATGATCAATGATCAAGTGATTATAAGTTTATCCATCTTTACTTAATAATTTAAGCTTTTGAATTAAATTAATTAATTTACACCTTAAGGGGTGTTTGGTACGAGTATTTGATATGAAATGATGGAAAAGTGGGGTGGAGAATATTTATTTATCATATTTGGTATGAGTATTGTGAATAAAATGGCAGGAATTTTTTTTACCCAATATTTATTTTTTAAACTACACAAAGGAAAATTTTTGTCCCACTTAATCTTTGGTATTTTTTTTTTCCTTGATCTTGGATTCTCAAAAGGTACATTTGATTCACTTTTTTCCAAAAAAAGCAACATTTGATGATGGCATATTCAAAAAATTAAGGGTATTTTGATAATTTCATTCACATTCCCATCAATATTTTACCATCAACCAAACATACCATCAGTAAAATTAACCCAACTTTTCCTGTAAAATTTTGACCAACCAAACACTTTTTTGTAACTTACCCTGATAAAAAAATTCCTACCAAATTCCTAACAATCTTTTTTTCTTGGTTAAAAAAAATATCTCTAGTACCAAATGCCCCGTAAATGACAATTCAGGCTATGTTTTGATTGATTTAAAGTATGGAAACGGACATTGCTTGAATGTTTTTGAAAGGAATGGAATATGGAGAAGGATCTGTATTAGTCCATTCCATCTTATATTCTTATTTTTTATTTTTTATACGGAATGAAAATTATTTCTATATTACCAAAAAATATTCAAACAATAATATAATAATTTTATTTCATTCCATCTTCTTCTTTTTTTAATTTCACCTATCATTACATATTTATACATGACTATTGTCACATGCTTTGTTTCTTCTTTTCTGATTTAGAAAATTTTCTTTCATTTAAAGGAAGGAAAAGTCCCTTTCTTCTGGAATGTGTTGGAATATTGTAAAATATAAAAATTACAATCCAGTATGATTGGAGAAACTAACCTTTAGGGAGTGCAAGTTCACGAAAATAGGGAGAACCTTGAGAAAAAGAAAGAAAAGAAAGTGAACTACGTTCGTTTTAGATAATTCTAACTAAAAAGAGTAAGTTCATGTAAATTACCCCCATATTGCTGATTGAGTTTGGTTAACTTAGGTTAATTACTTAGCTGAGTCATCTACTAACTTGTAAATGTTACACGAGTTAATTTGATGATTAGTTAGTTCTAGTGTTCTACTAGTATATAAGTCACTTTATTGCTATTATATTATCGCTTTCTCAATTAAATCAATCTTAGTTTCCTCTTACATTCTGACTCTTGTCATATTTTTCAAGAAATGTCAAATTGAATTTTAACCCGTGTTTCTTGACGGTTTTAGAATAGAGAATATAATATAATGAAGGGAAATAATAAGAAAGAAAAGATACATGATAAAATCATCAGAAAGGCTTTCAAAATTTCCTTCACAATTGGGAAATGATATCAAGACATCGATACATAATGCAAAACCTCCTCCAACTCTAAATTTCAACTTGTGCAAGCAACACTGCTGTGATGATTTAACTGGCCCCATCATTGGTTATACTATACATAAGAGGGGATAAATTACCCAACACAATCAGTCTCATAATAAAGAAATACATTGAAAGATAAGAAAGGAAGGGCACCAAACCACCTCTCTCATCCAAATATAGACTGACATTTTTATTGTGATTAAATCTGCACTAACCTGCATCTCTTATCAATTTTACAAGCAAATATGAACCAGTGACCTATTGAACAAATCTGCAATGTACCATCAAGTAACAACAACGATATTAGAAGACTGCCACACCTGCACTGTATTGAATGAGGAAGAAAAGAAATGAACAGTATGCATTTTAACTTACTAGTGAGACTCTAAAACAAGTGTATTTAGGTCAATTGAAGATGGGTTGAGGTGGTGTTGAGCTGCAACCAAACCACCTTCTGCTCCTCCTGCAGATACAGGAGATCCATGAAAACTTGCCACTGGACTTTTTCCAGATGACATGCCTGCAAAGAGAACATCTTAAAATGAAGACCACTGGGATTGCATTGTTCTCATGAGTTTGATTCCCTTCTTGCATACTAGGTAACTTCATATAAAAAAAAAATGGGGCATTTCGAAACTAGCTTCAAATTGCCTGGCTGAAGCTAGTTTCAAATTGGGGAATACTAGGTAATTTGTCAAACTGCCAATAGAACCATTAGAACTGGAAAATAGTAGCTACCGCTAAACTAATGAATAGAAATTCACCATGGTGGTTTTAATGGGAGAATACTCAAACAAATATTAACATCAGTTATCTATAGTTTATAAATTCTGATGTGGAGAATTCTATTCATCACATAAGCTTTACCAAAATGATGATTTTTCATGGAGTCACCATACATAGTACTGAATCAATAATAATGAAATTTGAAATGGCCTAGCTTAGAAAATAGAACCAATAGCCATTGGTGGCAATGATAATGCAGAATCCAAAGGTAACAAAACATGGTACAATACTGTAAAGAATCTTGGGATACACCATCCCAAAAGCTAGCTCAAAGGGTGAGAGTGCCCAAGGCCTTATAAACTCCACATTAGTTGCTCATACAACCAATGTGAGACTATATATCTCAACACGCCCCCTCACACAAGAGCCCATTGGGCTTGAAGAGTGGATGATGCAACAGGTGCTAAGAAATTCCACAAGAGAAAGTGAGGGGCGGCGAGACTTTGATACCATGTAAAGAACCAACTTGAAAAAGAGTATTCTAATATATTATAGAATTGTAAATCTTATGTACAAAAGGGTTCTCTATTTATAGAGAATACAAAACCTAGAATACTTGACCTAATAGGTTAAGCCCAATACAACAAATAACAAATAAATAAATAATAATAATATTTACAACACTCCCCCTTAAGCTGAGGAATAGATATTTAATATTCCCAGCTTGCTAGTAAGTTCTTGAAATCTGTCTGAAGGAAGCCCCTTTGTCAATAGATCAGCTAATTGATGCCCAGTGGGAATGTATGGAGTGGTAATCAACCCGCTATCAAGTTTCTCTTTGATGAAATGACAGTCGACCTTAATATGTTTAGTCCGATCATGTTGAACTGGATTATGAGCTATACAAATAGCGGACTTATTATCACATAACAGCTTCATAGGTCCCTCGCATTTTATTTTGAGATCATCAAGTACAATTTTCAGCCACAGTAACTCACAAATGCCTTGAGCTATAGCTCGAAATTCAGCTTCTGCACTTGATCTGGCAACCACATCTTGTTTCTTACTTCTCCATGTCACCAAGTTACCGTAAAGAAACATGCAATAACCAGTGGTAGAACGAAGGTCAGTCACGGATCCAGCATAATCAGCATCTGTGTAGACTTCTAAAGATAGATTGTCATCACGTCGGAATAACAATCCTTTACCGGGAGTACCTTTAAGATACTGAAGAATTCTCTCTACTGCCTGCATGTGTTTTTCCTTTGGATCGTGCATAAACTGACTGACACCACTAACAGCATAAGCTACGTCTGGTCTAGTATGGGCCAGATATATCAATTCCCAACTAGCCGTTGATATTGTCCTTTATCAACTGGAGGACTCTCTTCTTCATAGCCCATCTTGTGATTCTGCTCAATAGGATTATTAGAGAGTTTACACCCGAGCTTTCCTGCTTCTTTGAGAAGATCAAGAACATATTTCCTCTGGCTGATAAAAATTCCTTTGCTTGAATGAGCTACTTCCATCCCTAGGAAATATCTCAGTTTCCCAAGGTCTTTGACTTCAAACTCAGAGGCAAGCCGTGTTTGCAGAATCTGTCTCTCCACAAAATCATCAACTGTGATAATAATATCATCAACATATACAAGGAGCACAGTAAGCTTCCCATTTTGGGAGTGCTTGAAGAAAATAGTATGATCTCCTTAACCCTGTCTATATCCTAAGGTCATCATAACCTTAGTAAACCTTCCAAACCAAGCACGAGGTGACTGCTTCAATTCATACAAGACTTTTTTTAATCTACAAACTTTATTTTTCCCCTTTACAAAATCAAAACCAGGCGGGATTTCCATGTAGACTTCTTCTAACTCACCATTGAGGAAAACATTTTTCACATCAAATTGATTTATATCCCAATTGTAATGGGCAGCAAGGGATAACAAGATTCTCACCATATTCATCTTTGCAACTGGAGCAAAGGTTTCTTCATAATCAATGCCATAGGTTTGAGTGTAACCTTTGGCGACTAATCGAACCTTGTATCTCTCAAGAGTGCCATCAGAATTATATTTCAGGGCATAAACCCATCTGTATCTTACTGCTTTCTTTCCGTTGGGTCTATCAATAACCTCCCATGTTTTATTTTTCTCCACCGCATTCATCTCCTCTTGCATGGCTTGAGCCCAATTCACATCTTTCAAAGCTTCATGTACTGATTTTGGGATTGAAGTAGAATCTAATGCTGAAACAAAGCTTTTGTGCTGCACAGAAAGATTAGTAGAGGAAACAAAATGGGAGATAGGGTATTGAGTACAAGAGGGACAGGAGGAACAAGATTTCTTGGAACAAGTTCTTTTTCCTTTTCTTAGGGCAATAGGTAAGTCATCAGAAGTAGAAGCAATGGGTAAGTCATTAGAGATATCAGAAGAAATAGACAAATCATGAGAGGCAATAATATTAGAATTAGAAATAGGAGATTCAGAAGAAACAGGAGACTCAGAAGAAACAGGAGATTCAGGACTTACCAGTGGTTCAGACGATTGAGGTTGCTGGTGAGACAGTATGAGTTGTTTCCTCCTCTGATATACCAATTCAGGTGTCAAAATTTTCCGTATCTCAGGTGTATTTGAAGGTTCTGACACACCAGGAGCAGACACACTAGGAAGAGAGAAGACTGATCCAGACTCAAAGAAGGAAGGGGACGAGTCTTCTGAAGAACTGTTCTCCCCCTGACGATGAAGACCGAGGAAATAAGATTTAGATTCTTGAAAGGTGACATGCATAGAAACAAAAAAATTTCGACTTGGTGGATGATAACACTTGTACCTTTTTTTATAAGGGGTATAACCAAGGAAGACACACTTAAGAGTCCTAGGATCCAACTTACTCCGATGTTGTTTATGAACATGGACAAAGGCAACACATCCAAACACTCTTGGTGGAAGGCTCTGCAATATGGAAACAGAAGGAAAGAAGGAAGTCATGGAATGAATAGGACTGATATTGTTAAGGACCCGTGAAGGTAAACGGTTGATCAAAAAAGTTGCAGCTAACACTGCTTCTCCCCAATAAGAACTTGGAACAGATGTCTGGAAAAGTAGTGCTCTAGCAACTTCAAGGAGGTGACGATTTTTCCTTTCAGCAACCCCGTTTTGTTGAGGGGTATCAACACATGTGAGCTCATGAATCATACCTCTGTCTGAAATGAATTGTGACAGGCGTTGGTTGACGTACTCAGTACCATTATCAGATCTTAGTCTTTTAATACCCTTACCAAACTGAGTCTCAACCATGTGATGAAACCGAATAAATATCTCTGGTACTTCAGACTTGTCTTTCATCAAGTATATCCATGTTACCCGAGTACAATCGTCAATAAAAGAAACAAACCACATTGCACCTGAAACACTGTGCACTTTAGAAGGGCCCCAAACATCAGAATGGATAAGAGAAAAAGGATCCCTGCTTTTAATAATGCTAGAAGGAAATGACACTCGGTGGTGTTTTGCAAATTCACAAACATCACAATGAAAGGTCTCAACCGACTTATTGAGAAACAGAGAAGGGAACATAGACTTCAAAAGACTAAATGGTGGATGTCCCAGACGCTTGTGAAGGAGCCAAATCATAGACTCTGCAGTAGAAGGATGATGTGTCATTAATAACTGATTTTTGCTAGCATGGTCTGGAAGGAGATGATACAACCCATCTTGTTCATTAGCAACTCCAATTGTCTTATTCGGGGTAAGATCCTGAATAACACAACGAGAAGGAAAAAATGTGATAGAACAATTCAAATCAGTTGTAAGTTTTTGAGTGGAGATAAGATTAGTAGAAAGCTGAGGAACATAAAGAACATTTTTAAGAAACAAGGAAGGTTGAATTTGAATGTTACCAGAACCAATAACTGATTTATGGGATCCATCAGCTACGGATATAGTATGACTACCAACAGTAGGATGATAAGAACAAAACAACTCAATATGACAAGCCGTATGATCAGTTGCACCAGAATCCAAAATCCATGAGGTTTTAAAATCACTGCAAGAAGCAAGAAGAGATATAGAACGTGTGCTCTTACCAGATAAGATCAAAGAACTGTCATTCTCGGCCATTCTTCAATAAAAAAGTTAACAACCAGCGATAAAATCAACCAAACAGATTATCAAATGAAGTCCGATCAGTGAAACAATCACAGATCCAGAAGAGAACAAGGAGACGAGAAGAATGGCGGTGGTCCAAGGCCAAAATAAGGTGTCACGCGCCTCCACGCGCCGGTGGAGGTGGCTGCGCGTGGGCTTCACGCGCTGGAGCTTGGGCGGCGGGTGAGAGCGTGTGGGCTGTCCTCTTCGGCTGGAATTTTTGCACGGTGGTCGTCCGGCGAGTGCGCACCTGTCTGTGGGTGGTCGCGATTGAAAAATCACCGGAAGGTGGTCCAGACGCGATGACAGATCTGTTTGGAGGTGTTTGGGCTGTGTAATCGGTGTTCGAGGGTGTAATCAAAGAAAAATAACAGTGAACAGTAGTCCTCTTGGTCCAAAAGGTCTTCGGAAAATTTTTTCCGGTGGCGGCTGATGGCAGCAAGAGGCAAAGGGATCAGATTTTTTTTTTACTCTAAAGGCAAATAAGCGCGGAATGAGAACCCTCAGATCGAGAGTTCTGATACCATGTAAAGAACCTTGTGATACACCACCTCAAAAGCTAGCTCAAAGGGTGAGAGTGCCCAAAGCCCTATAAACTCCACATTAGTTGCTCATACAACCAATGTGGGACTATATATCTCAACAAATACCCAACTCAACAATTAGCAAAAGTGTTATCATTATATCAGTTGTTAATTGTTAGCTCAAAGCTAAACCCCTATCATGTTATAGTCACAAGATTATAAAAAAAAATGCCGTATGCATGACAAAAATTACATTTATTCAAAATATTACCTTGGAGTATTATCACAATGCAGAAGATCACCGTGAAAACCATGGCTAACATGCTGCTGCTGGAAGACGATGACGATTTAGCAGCTTTCATCTTCTTCAAGGCTTTCATGCGCTCTATCCTTGCACGCTTCAACATGGCAAGTTCAGAGATCTCCCTGATTAACTTTTGGTCAGCTGCATCCAATGATGAAGCTCGAGCTCTTGGAGGTCTTGGAGGTTTGGGAGCCTTTTTATTACTGGACTTTTTACGTTTCTCCTTTACTGGGGTATTCTCTGCACATTTTGCTGAGTCTTGCCCCGTCAACAACCTGTTTGTCACTTTCACCACATCCATGGAAACTCCACTTAAATTTGATTCCTTATCGTATGCAATATGCCTATCTTCATCTTTTATAGAATCTCCAACAAGCCCACAAGAAATCTTAACAAATAGTGTCTTTCCTGGAGTAGAGACATTCTTTGAACCATCTTCAGCTACTGCCAACCCACTTTCAATATCAACTTCAGCATCCTCATCCCTTAAACTTCTATGATCCATCCTGAAGCCACAAAACTAATCCGACTTCTCCCTGATTGTTACCCTACCCTACAAAACTAGGAGAGCTAAAAAATGTCCAGTAAACTGCCACCAGGAACTAAAATCCTTGAACTCAATCAATAACACAAAATCAACTTCTCAACAGATATTATACACCGAGGGCCAAATTGACCATATATCCTCAAAGAGACAGTTTGAAATGCAACTCAATCACAACCAAGATACATTCTAGAATTGCACATCAGACAGTCTCAGAGACTAATATAGCAATGATCAACTGGAAAAGCCATTTTTTCCCTTCATAAGCTCTATTACCACGACAAAAGCTGTGATGCTAACCACTCCTCTAAAAACAACAGGAAAAAAAAAAAAGACCCTGCATCATAACAAGAGACAGAATTCAATCTATTGCACACAACTAAAATCCTTACTATGATTTTCTTCTAATTGTGGGGTATCAAAAGCAAGAAGAAAGTAAAGTGCCCCCATAAAAGGCACAGAACAAATATATTAAGAAAAATGCAGCAAAACGAAACCACTAGGTACTAGGAAATACCCAACATCATACAAGGTTACATTGTAGCCACATATAATGAAGATGAACAATGAAATTCAGATAACTGGGAATTCATGAAAATTGGAGAAAGACATAAACTTTGAAACTAGCTTCAGCCAGCCATTATAATAATAGAAACAAACATTGAGGAAAAAGAAGAAAACTGGAAAAGTGAATACCTTTGAGGGAAAGGGAAGGAACCCAAGATCCAATGAGGGACAAAGTGCGTAAGGGACGGACACGATGGAGTTCACAACATTACAGGGAAACTACCTCACTGCAATTTTAAGTGTTCAATTAATCTCTCTCTCTCTCTCTTCACTGCCAATGCCAAATCCATGTGATGTCTTCACAAAAAACGGCATATTTATAGTATACAGCGAAAATACGAGGAAGGAAGGAGCAGAGGAGAGCCACGCCGACAGTTGGCAACTCTTCCAAGTTACAAGTTTGTATCTTCATTGGATGATGTTATTTACAATTTTTTTTTTTTACTCGATAACACTTTATTCACAATTGTACTCGATTCAAGTTACGGATATTCTTCACCGACACCCTTTTTTGTTTTTTTTTTTAACTCAAAACTTAGGGACAAAAAATATAACACTCACAATATCAGGTTTAATATAATAAACCTTCTGTGTTTTATTGTTTATCTAATTTTAGAATAAGAAGAATTTGCATTTGAAAAACGTGTTTTAACCCCACGAATCTTTGAAAGTTGAAACAACCGGCTATACCCTTTATTTTGATGCTGCTATGCTATCTCTATTATGAGAGGTAGGTAGGACCAGTCCACCAGAGAGAGAGAGAGAGAGAGAGAGAGAGAGATGCTGGTATCTCAGAAAGACGATTCCTCATAATAATACTGCCTTAGTGACCACTGTTTAATGCTGAGAGCAATTAAGGGTCTGAGTCAGGATTACAATTACAAGGGTGGCAAAAATCATGTTATTAGCATATGCAAAGATTGAGTATAGCGTTTTTATATTTAATGATCATTTGAACAGATCGTAATAAGGCCTTTTTGCGTAACCACGTGCAGTTTGTACCCACATCTAATAACTAAGGTACAAAAGCACGTGGGCTCTGATATTACTAGATTTGCCAGGCCCCCAAACATTACCAAGTCCTGTCTGTCTGTCTGGGAGGGCGAACAGAGGCACCACATTAACTTGTTTCTAACACTATGGGCCCTGTTTAATTTCTTAAAAAATAGTATTACAATATTTATTTTAGGTTTATTTTTAAAAATAATTATAAGATAGAACAAATAAAAAGATAAAATACTTGACAAAAACTGAAAATTTGTTACATAATAGCACTCTTTCTCTATTTTTTTTCTCTCTCCTCATATTCAGTGTGACCAGTGCTAAAATCAGACACAAAATAGATAGAACAAAAAAAATAATGATGTGACTTAGATGCTTATATTGTGTTGTTTTTCTTAATGTGTATAAAACAATTGTGGATGATCCTCATCCAATTTCAAGGTCCTAAACCATCATTTTGACATTTTTTTTTTACCAATTTCCCAAGTCTTTTTGCCTCGATCCTTTGCTATATTGTGCTACACTACACACATATAATTGGACTCATTGTGCGATTTTGTGTGTGTCTCAACACAATCTCCATTCAATTTCAACATATCAAACCACCATTTTGTGTCTTTAGTTCTTTAAATTGTAGTGTTGATTAAAAAGTTGACATTGAAAAAATTAATGTTAAAAGAATTGTTTTTATTTAGATGGTAAAAAGTACAATAAATTTTAAATAGAGAAGGCACAACACAAAACTTACGAGAAGGCACCTTTCGAAGGAAACAGCCAAACACCTCTGTAGTACTCCGAAAGATTTCTTTTGAGAGTTCAGAGCCATTAAATTTATTCTTGAATTTATAAAGGGTTTAATTTTGATTAGTATAAAAAATTTACTCTTTCTTGGTATTATTATCCCATGTTTAAAATTAAATTATTTTAAATCAAACAACCAAAAATATTATCCAGATTTCATATATCTAATTTTAATTATTATTATTATTTTTACTAAATTCTGATTCTAATTATTTGTTTTTGTAAAACTTGATGTATATTATCTAATCATATATTACAACACTAAAAATATGATTAATATCTGTTCATAGAAAATACTAAAGATAGTGCAGTAATCTTTTTACATGAATGAAAATTAAATCCAAATTTAATAGCTCTAAACATAAAAAACTATAAAAAGGCAACTTAACCATAAATTAAGGGTACTATTCTTAAACCATTAGAAATTGCATTTGGCAGAGTATAGAGATCTTAAAAAAAACTTAAAAAAGAAAAAGAAAAAGAAGAACGTTCCATCCATTAAAAGGGGATGCTGGTCAAGGAAATATACTAAAACTTGAAGATGGCAGCACCACTTGATGGCTTGGAAGCAAATACATACAGGCCAAGATCGTTCTTCTTAATAATGCCCTTATCTATCCTAGACTGGTAAAAGCATTCCTGCAAATGGTATATAATCCATCATTAACAACTTGTTAATTCAAAATTTCCAATGATTAATTAGGGTTGCCAAGTATTATATGATAGCAGACCTTCAAATTAAGGATAAACTGTGGGACTATACTCTCTTTCACCAGAGCAACAGCACAACCACCCCATCCAGCTCCGGTAAGCCTTGCCCCAAGAGCTCCATTGTCACGACAAATATTTACAAGTTCTTCCAACTCCGGACAGCTGATTCCATGAATAATAAAAAAGAAAATATCAACTTTATGGGCTGAAAAAGAAAAATATATTTTACAATTCATTCTATTATTTTAAGGTTGGAAAATATGACAAACCGTGCCTTAAAAACAGAATCCTTCTAAAAAGCGTCAAACAATAAACAATGCATACATTTATTCCAATGTCAGAAAGCATTCTGAAAGGAAGAGTATTCACCTGCATTCATATAAAACGCTGCAGCTATAATGACTCTCATTCATAAGGTCACCAAGCTTCTTTAGCATCTCCTCGTCACTGAAAAAATTTAGAAATTAAAATTCAAGAAACATCCCACTTACAAAAGAATCGCATAATACACAAACTAATGAGATTAGTCCTTAAGACATAATTTTTATGAAAATAAAGAGAAAATATCAACTACTTTTCACCCCCATCATGTACTAAGAATCACATTAGAAGAAATTAAGAGTAGTGCTCATCCAATTAACATGCAAGACCAACTGAATACTTCAAAGTGAAAATGCGCATATTAGTAGTAATGACAGCAAGCTAGGCATGTATAGTAGCAGGACATGAAATAGTAACATTTCAATGGAATGGTTTTGCCGGGATGTTTTGGTGTCAAATTTAAATGACAAGCTCATAAGCCAAGCATATAAATCAAGTTATCAAGAAACACGGTAGACATGTTGATGTCTTAATTTGAAAACAAATGAGATAGTTGCAAGCACCTATTAAAATATAAATGTTCAATCAGACTGTTTCAAATTTCAACCAACTGTAACCGAAATTTTCTTGGGTTAAAATTACTTTTCAGTGATTGGTTTTTATCCTCTTACATATGAACTATCAAATACTTAATCGATTCTTCTACAAGCTATGAAATCCTAGCTCTTAAGATATACAGAAATGTCTCAGTAGAATTACATTAAAAAATAAAGAACACACATGATAAAACATCTATATTATAGATCCAAAAGACTCACCTTAGATTTGATGAAACAATATCCTTGAAAGCATGTACTCTCTTGGCTTCTGAATACACATGAGCAGCTCTCTAGAAATAAATGCATCAAAATTAAATAACAGCACATAAAAGGGACAACACATTAGCCATCACAGCCAATGGAAATGGTTGTTCGCAATCCACAAGAAATTTTTAGATATTTCCCGATTGGAGTATGTCATACATGAAACCTTACGGAAAATACAAAATGCAATACAGAGATAGAAACACAACCCGATCAGCAGTTGTTAAATATTAAAGAAATCCAGAAACAAAAAGCATAACTAATATCATTTAAAACTGTATGTTGCTGAGAAAATTGTTAACAAAAAAGTTTATATCCAGATCGTAACATGGTTATGCAAATGGGATGAAAATAACTCCACTACTGGAGCTAGAATGCAATCCAGATAAATAAATATGATTCTCAGTACATGATCAGGTTAAAATGCGCATATGCAGTCGTTTTCAGTTATTGCAGAAGAACAGAATGAAAAAGAATAACTACAACCTTTTAAAACTGTAAAATTTTAAACCAATCTGACAAAAAAATATATATTCAGATCTTAATATGGTTATACAATCAGGAGTAACTTCGTTAATGGGGCTTAAAAAAAGAACCTGATGTAACTTGTACTGCTTTGCAACTTTTATGACTTCTAAATAAGCTTCATTATTGCTCAAACACGAGGTCAACTTTTCCCCAATAACTTCTTCAATTTCTTCAGCTGTATACGGTTCTACCTTCAAATATTCCTGTAGACAGTTTTTTAAATAGGAAAAAGTTAATAAATGTATAAAAAACATATTAAAAGTTGTATAAATCCATATGAATTGAAATAAAATGCTCATGATATAAAATCAAAAAAGAAATAGCATCCGTCACAAGGGTAATTTTAGGATGGCATCACACCGTGTAAAACTACCTTTACAGCAAGTACAGGATCTGATGAGTTATGAAT